GTATTTTTACAGTCTTTATTTTACAGTTAAAATACGTTTATTAAATAAAGTCTAATGTTACAACTAATCGGGGATCCGTTTAAGGAATATGTAAACTGCTACTTTCTCTGAATTCATTCAGGACATAAATTAGGAGTGGTTTCCTCTGAAATAAATGCACAAAGTGATTATAATGAGAATTGATGTTTTATATTGGTTACAGTGAGTTTTTAATGTGATTTTTAACTCGTGGAATGAAGCATAAAAGAAACACTTCAGTATATATTAAATGGAAGGTTGGAAAATTCAATTACAGCTATTTCCTGAGTATTTCAGAAGTAACTTTCAATTCATTAAGAATATTGAGTGAGCTTTTAAACGTAGGCAAAAACTAGACAAGGAAATGAATTTGTTTTGTACAGAAATATACTAACCTAATACAAATGCTTCCGTTTGACTGCATGTGTGTTGATCACAGCTGTGCATGCAGGTAGGCTTGACCATTTGCTGAAACACGAATGGTGTCATTTTCTCCCCAACTTTTCATTTTGTTTTTTATCCAGGTGGGCTGGCAATAAGGCTTGACAGAAGATGCAACGGGGGTGGTGGCTTGTCAGATGGCTGGGGACAGGAATGGCAATCCTTTCTTTGCTTACCTACAGCTGGGGCCAGAACACAGAAGGTACGAACAGCCATCACACTCAGCCCTGAAAAAACTCTTTTTTTCCTCTCATGTATTTCATGTGTATGTTTTTGTTTCATTATTTTTAAATAATCTATACCAAGCTGAGTGCAATGATAATATCTTGTTTTGAGTGCAACACATATTCGAGCGGACTTTACGACTGACCAGGAAGTAAGCTTCCAACGCTGTTCCCAGTTCCACAATGCAGATAACGTTGCCTTACTCAGTCTACCCTCCCGGTTAAAGTTAGAAGTCATTATTTAAAGAAAGGATTTAAATTCAACTTCCTCCCTACACACTTCGCTGATCAAACTAAGAGGATTCCCCTTGTAGTTCAGAAGTTCCCACATTAGAGAGAGAATCTCAGCATTCGCAGTCACAACTCAGTGACTCTGTAGCAGGTGCCGGCTAAAAGTGAATTCCAGCTGCATGAGATTGGCAGGTCTTTTCAAACTGCGGCCGGCAGAATGCTGCACACACACTTGCAGACGTGTTCCAGTTCCCGAGTGAATGGTGATAATCTGATTGATGGTATTTTGAAGATGGGTGTGCTCACAAATTCTACCAACTTCCTTCCTATTTTTCATTTTTGCCTCATCCTTTCCTTCCTTCCTTTGTTTTTCCCTCAGTAAATTTATGAATTGAGGTTTGTTTTAAATCTCCTTCAGCTTTTGGAAAAGCTTCCCTGATTGCAATTTATGAATGTGGTTAAATCTTTTGTTTTCTTTCTTTCATGCTAAGGATAATTGACAGTTTATACAGAAAAAAAGAACATTATTTGTTTTAAAAACAACAGGTCTCATAACTGGGGTAGAGGGGAAAGCTCTAAAATGGTCATCAGTTGGTTAATGATCTCTACATGTAACTGTTGGAGACTAGTTGGTGAATCAAAATTGTGAGTAAATAGTCACATTTTCTTTTGCATTCTTACTGAATTCTGGTTGACCAAGCGACCAGAGCTGAGTGTTAGTGACTAATTTATTTCATAAATCATGGCCTGTTTCACATGCCTGGCTTGCAGGAGGCATGCTATTTTGTTGGCCACCCCCTGTTGTGCAGGTGTCAGAACACAGCTKAAGCACTTCCCAGAAACCAACTTGAGAAGATTTTTAGATCACTGCAAAAAACTCTACAACTCTCATGAGAAAACTGAAAATCCACTGATTATTTTGAAACATTTTGCATGCTCTTTTCTAGAGTTTAGATTTATAGCCCGGGCCAAAATGGTACACTTGATGGTTGGGTTTCTGCGGCATGGTTTTAATAAACCTACAATACATACAGCACAGAGAAAACTAAACAAGAATGTGTGATCTAAAGTGACATTAATGTACCATATTTATTCATGCTCTATGCAAAAGAAAAAAACAAAACAAAAAAAAACTAAAAATTCATTCATAAAGCTGGGAAGTCGTAGCTAATATAGACTGGAGTAAATTTTGACCGATTTATTTTATTTATTTATTTTTTTTTTCTAATTTACTACCACAATACAGGAAATTATTTTTGGACTAACTGAACTATTTGTTGCGGGGGATAAATCATCCATATTTTGGGTCTTTTTTTTAACGGCAGTGCGTAGGTGCAAAAAATATATGGATGTTAGTTGCAAATTTGCATGCTCAAAAGGAGAACAGCTGCAGATAACAGATTTGGTTAAAAAACCTTGATGGTCTAAAAATGAAAGCACTGGAAGCTTAATTAAAACAAAGTCTGGTTTTGTTCAKGCTTTTAATTAGTATTAATTAGTCGGACTGGATTGGGCTGGGACATAATATTTATGGGCTCAGGCCAGGTCGGGTTGGATTTTTTAGACCCAAACTATACTTTACTCTCTTCACCAATAGTTGGAACAAACAACTAAAGATGCTTCTTTTTTTCTTGGATAAAATAAATCAATAAAAAACAATTGAAAAACAATTATATTTCAACAAAAATTGTTTTTGGATCATTTCTTTCACAGCTTGAGATGTTTTTTTGTTCCTCGTGGCATTACCTGACATCCTGATTCACTGAATCATTTTA